AAAGTATTCACGTAATTTGAGATTAAATGTTCGTAAAATATCAAACACCTTCGTCGGTACTTTCTACGTTTTATTTTGTTCCTGTGATAAAATATATATTTTTAGAAATTTCATTTCGTATCAATCTGAAAAACGTTCTTTATATTTCTATTGTGTCATCATTTCAAAGAACGCGTAGTATGGTTTATGTCATTAGTTATAATCTATTCTAGAGTTTATAATCCGTAATGATATAATATAATTATAATCCATCTATTGAACATCAATTAATTACCTTAAAAGTTGGTAGGAAATTATATACAGGAAATTAGTCAAATTAATTCTAGTTTAAAGCTTCCTCTATTCAGTTAGAAATGAAACGAAACTTCGTGTTAATAATGCTGCTCGTAATGAATTATTTCCATTGACGAATGAAAAGTTTAATACAGTTCTCGTTTTTAATCAAATCCGAACATTTCTTTTTTTTCTTTTTAATATAATAAAAAGTAGATCGAGATGATCGTTTGAGTTGGCAAGAAAAATGAATTTAAATGTAGTAACTCCTCTTGCATTCCTGTTGATCGTAACTGTGGCATGTTTGCAACTGGTGGTCGCCAACCACCCTAAAGCAGAACCTTAAGCTTATACCAAAGTTCTTTCAAGTCCGTCTTTATTGATTATTCATAATATTTCTCAATATTCTTTTAATTATTTCATTAGTTAATTTTATTATTTGATCAATAAATTCAATAAATAATAATAAATAAATTATAGAAATTTTTTACAGTGTATAGTATCAGGAGTAGCATCATTTATTATATAATATTATAATTATTAATTGAATAATTATAAATATGAGCGCCTGTAAGAATGCAACCCTCCAGACACACGTTGAAAATGTTGCTTGCGAGCGCCACCTGTTGGGACGGAATTTTTGTTCACCCCAAACTGTTCACACACGCATGCAGTACGGGTTGCCTATCTTTCGGGCAGACAAAAAATTCCGTCCCAACAGGTGGCGCTCGCAAGCAACATTTTCAAAGTGTGTTTGGAGGGTTGCATCTCTATAGGCGTAATGTTTTAATAAATAATAATGAAAATTGAATTTTTATTTTGTAATTATAATATTTTCGTTAGAAATGTTTGTTGTATAAGTTTTGGTAGAGAAAAATTTGTCAATGATTTTTATCGAAATATTTATGAACAATAAGGAAATAATAAAAGTATGATTTATACTCTACAAGATTATTATTGCAATATGTTTGCAATTGGTTATCAACGTAGACACTTTTATTATCTATTTACTTTTATATATACACTTCCTTGTGCGTAGATTTTTTTCTTCTTTCTTTTTATATTACAGATTGAATGCGACCTTAATGATGTATGAAAAAAAAAAAAGAAATAAAATAATATACCTAGCACACAGTATGCTCTTAAATCATAGTGGATAGATAATGGCTGTTATTAACCTTTTGGACTTTGTACACTCGAGATAATTTATACGAGTCGATATATGTGTGTATGTGTACCGTGAAAAACCAAAACTGAGGACTAACAATATTCTCGTTGATGTATTTTAAACAAAATTGAATTAAGTGAAATGAAATAAAAAAAAAAGTACACACGCACATATTTTTAAAAATGTTTAGGTTGTTCTGCTAATATTGAGCTGCAATTTTATTAAATTGAAGTATGACATATACGTGTAATTAATTAGAAATCTACATCAATATCGATTGATGTGTCTGTGTACTATGTAACATATCATATCATATAATATCGTATCGTATCGTATCGTATCGTATCGTATCGTATCGTATCGTATCGTATCGTATCGTATCGTATCGTATCGTATCGTATTGTACAATTGGTTCTGTAATATGTATATGTATGTATTACATAGGAATTCTGTATACTATCTCGATATCTAAAATCACAATGCATAGCTCAACGTTAATAAACACACGTAACGTTAGTGTTTCTGATTTACTGATTAGCATAAATTAGATAGGATTCTAAGCAAACTGTATACACAGTGATACAGTCAAATTTGTATTTGAAATGGATAGTTTGTAGGATCATTTGAATTTATAATTGATCGAGATAAAATGAAAAATAATCAAGAAGAGTATTTATTTATCAATTTTTGGTATAAAACACATACACCAAGTATTCAATTTTTATAATGTATGAAAAAACATGTAAGATAATATTCATAAAAAAAAAAAATATAATCAGCTAGATAAACATATTCTTTTGGTCACATTTTTATCTGAATGTTTTTTAGCAAGGGTCTGTTTGCATAAGCAGCCAAAATCTTCTACGTTGAACTTATCTGGATGCTTTCGAAGGCAAATAATAAAAAAAAAAAAAAGAGAGAAAGGAAGAGTTCATGTATACAGATACCATCCCCTCTTTATCGTATGTGTAAATGTCATGGGTAGGTGGGACAGTGAAAAGTCATTTGTTCGTGCCATCAAATTTTTCTACCCTTTACTCCCACAAATATAAAAGCACCGACCACCAGTTATATCTGAGATAAGACAGCACACCGGGGAAATGTGCTACTTGAAATTTTCTTTCCCCATAAACTTTGTAACTAGGGCGTTGTTTCTCCCAAACTAAACATTTTGTTCTGACGATAGAACAATATTCGGGAACATTGAGATGAAAAAATAAAATCGAAATTATTAATTAATTTGAAGGAACAAACAAAAAGGTTCTATCTTTGTTCCTAATTTTGTTTAAAAATGAATGAATTTATCCCCATAAATGTGCATAGACAATATAAATGCAAGTTTTTAATATTTCATCTGACAGTTTTGCGTTTGTTTTCAGATCCAAGTTTTTGGAATCGTCTTCTCGAAAGAAAGAGGAAGAAGAAGAAGACCACCACCAAGAGACGAATATTGAACAAGCCATTCGAAGATAGAAAAGAAAGAAAGAAAAAAAGGATAAAAGAAAAAGTATTGAAAAGTATCGAAATATCCAGATCCTCCAGATGGAAGAAATAATACGAAGTGAAGGACATAGAAAAATAAGGAAACAATTACTGTTGTGGTCATCCTGATATGGCATCGTTTAATATTATTCAATATCTCATGAAATCGGGGAATAATCCTCAAATTGAATTGAAGGAGCCTCGGCGATTCACCTTTTTCAGGTGAAACGCCGTTTACTCGGCGTCAACCTCGTTGGCGTTGCGACCACGACGCAAATTCCGACTAAAACACCGTTTCCTCCACCTCACGTGGCCGCAACATTACCCAATAAGGTAAAATCCCGCATTAATCTTGCTTTGCAAAGCACCAACCTTCCTAACAAACCATACACCACTACACAACGCATAATTCGGCACATCTTAACCCTTAACAAACCCCTTAAACACACCTGACATATTTTCAAACAAATGAATCATCTTACAACATCTTTACCTACAAATGAATTTAATGTCTACCTTTTTTTGTCCACCTTTTTTTGCCCTTCTTCTTTTCCTTTTTCTTATTCTTTTTCTTCCCTCCTAGAACATAAATCTTTTCACGTGTCAACATGATTTTCTCGTTTTATCGGAGATTTCTTTTGATAGCCTCACTCTATCCAATTCCCTAATCTTCATTTCTTTTTTTCCTTCTTTTTTTTTTTTTTTTGCTCCCCTCTCTCTCTTATTTGAGAAGAGATTTTTTTCCGATTATATAAACTAGGGGAGATTAAACGTTGTAATTGGGTGTGTATCATGTGTAGAAAAAATAAACAACCATCAGATTAGATTAATCTTTCTTAGGAAAAATATATTTTTGGAAATATCGATGAATGAAAATGTGAGAGGTCATTATTTGTTTTTTATTTTTCATCTTCTTCCTATCATAATCCATAGAAAAAAACTAAAAAGGAAAAGAATTCCAATGCAGATTGATTCTCTCGATGTAAAAGAAATTTTCTTCAAAGTTATTAAAAAACTACTTGCAAAAGTGTATGTATGTATATATAAAGAGAGGGAGAGAGAGAGAGAGAGAGAGAAAGAGGATAAGTTTAATCGAAAATAAGCACTGCGGTTTAAGTTTCAGAACCGATCCATTTTTCATAATAGAAAGTTACCTTACATAAACCTGGAATATGATTTGATAACAACAAATTATCTCGTTTTCATTCATCTTTCGAGGTTCTTTAAATTTATTACAAGTAAAAGAAACTGTGTAAAAGAATCCTAAGTTTGTAGAATTTTTACTTTTATTTTTTCTTTTTTTTTTTTTTTAATGTCTTACTCGTTAAGTCAAAGTATGTGGAAAAAGTTTTAGAGATCGGACATATTAATTTTGTCGTAGCATTCGAAGAAAGTTTTGCAAAACACAAAACCAAAGAAATAAGAAAAAGAAGAGGAAGAAGAATTGAAGAAACGAATGGCCATTTTCTTATTTCACTCGTTTCTACTTTACAATGTTTTTCGTCTTTTTCCATCTCTAAAATAGAACAGAGGAGGAGGAGTAAGGAAGTGATATACGTTAGGCATTTATAGCACCCAACGGAAAATAAATTCTTCCCTTTCCTTTTTTTTTTTTTAACTGAGAGAAAGAGAGAAATCGTGACAAAAAAAAAAAGACTTGTTCTTCTATTCCATTAAAATAAACCTACCATCATCTTCCATCGTTCGTAGTAATAATTATTTCCTATAGAATAAAATATTAACTATATAAAATAGTTCACATATATCGTAGAAATTATACGAAACACAATTCATAGAATTTACAAAAGGTGTTTCTTAATTAGAATAAACGTTTAATGTATTATAATTATGAATCTACCGAGAATTCTACGAGCAAGCATTTTATGCATTTTTATCTGAAAAAGACACGTTATTGTTTAAGATAAGTAATCTCATTTTAAAATGGGATATATAATTATTCTAACACATTTATATTTTATCTAATGAAAAACCCTAGTAGAGTGTACTACTAGGTGTACTATTATTAAATCAACTACTAGATAAATTTAATAATATATTTTTGAATCAAAATTCGAATATGATGATCAGTAGCAGTAGTCGAAAAGTTTATATTGGTCAGACGAAGTAGTGGAGTCTGTTATTAGTCGGTCAGGTATTATTTCGTTAGTCTTGCATAGTCAGCGTAACTTTCGATGCCGTTAATTACGATAACAATGATGACGGGGTAACAGCAAGAGAAACGACACTAAACTACTACATATGACTATTCTTCACACTCACTCACACTAACAAAACTATCTCGAATTACTCACAGTGCACATTTTTCTTCTATTTTATTTTTTTGTTTTTTCATCGTATGTGTGCACATTATGCTAGTACACGCGCGACAACTACTACTACTACTACTACTGCTACTATATCGTGTATAGTCAAGCCCAGTAGTTTCTCTCCGCGTTCTGAATTATTTCTCATATAAACTGGGTCAGCTTTAAAAATCGGTGCTTGCAAGCAATGAGCTTAACGTATGCAACCGTGCAAACATCTATGTTACTTTCGAAATTTTTCGCAAAATTTCTTTCACCACTGTTTCTTTTTTCTTTCTTCTCTTCTCTTTTTGTTCAAAGCATTCTTTTTTACTTTTACATTTACTACGTTTTCGTTTCCGTTTCCGTTCGTTAGTTTTAAGAAAAAGACATAGTTCGTTATGAAAGTTTAATAAAAGCAAATATATATTATGTGACAGATTAATTATAAGCGTGTAATTTATATAAAGCAACAAAGACAATTCCTCTCTCTCGCTCTCTCTCTCTCTCTCTCTCTCTCGTAACTTTGAATTTGATGCACGAGGAAATGTAAAATCCCTCAGGGTGATGATCGAACACATATACACATAAATATATGTATATATAAAGGGTATATCGTACATACCACCATGTTGTACTGCTTTTCAAATTTCTCACGCTCGAGTATTCCTGAAAGTTAGTCCGAGTGGTGTGAAAATGAGAAATGAGTTGAGATTCGCAAATAATAGTGTGTGATGATATATGCTCGATCATAGAAAAAAAAAAGAAAAAAAAAGAAAAAACCTATTTGTTTGAAATCAAATGATTATTTGTATTTGTTTTGAACAATAAATTTGCAGAGCTGGAGAAGCGGCCGCAGCCGCAGCTGCCTCGGAGCTCTGAGGAGCTGGAGGATCTGCACAAGCTGCTGCACTTCCCCGAGGAGGTGGCGCTCAGGTTGACGGAAGTAGAATATCAATTATTTTATCAGGTACCACCTAACGAGTACCTAAAACAAGTAGCCCAGGATCTAAACGCATTGCAAAAATCAGCCAGTAAGCCATCGCCACCACCACCACCAACCCCGTCGCCGAGTTGCAGTAGCCCAAGCAAAGCAAATAGTTCGACCCAAACTGAGGAAGAATCCTCTTGGCCTGGTGCTACAGTTTTTTCTTCCGTTCAGACGCTCATCAATCGATTCAATGAGGTACCTTCCCTTTCTCTCTCTTTCTCTCTCTCTTTCTCTCTCTCTTTCGTTTCCTCCCACCTAATCGTTCCACGTCGTTTACCGGTCTCGTTTATCGGCTCGTTTATCGGCTCGTTTATCGTTTCACCCTCTCTCATTTTTTCGAGATACGAGAGACAGATCGTGGTAAAGATAGAAAAAAAAGAAGGGAAGAATCGAGAAACGATAAGCTGCTACATTGACCAATTTTGTCACCCTCTTTCTCACGAAACTACCTTGACGCCTGCGCATCCTTTTTTTTTTTTTTTTTCTTTTTTTTGGTCTTTCAACGATTGCCAGTTACTCTTACGCAAACACACGCGAGAAATAATTTCATGGTCGCAAACGTGTCTGCCTCAAGGTACTCGTAAAAAGATAGAAAAGTTTGCCTTGAGAGGAGGAAGCCCCAGTTATAGTTCTCTAAAAGCAACCACCACCCCCCTTGTCCCCTTTTTTCTTCTTTTATACTCTACTTCGTAATCTTTTACATTTCCATTGCCATACTTTGAATTTTGCATTATTATGAACTATGCCGTGTATTTTTGTGTGTTATATAGGTGAACTCATGGGTAATCAACGTTATAAACAGCGGTACCACTGTAGAAGAACGTCAGGCAGTGTTATCTTGCCTATTACGAGTAGCTCTAACTTGTTGGAATACTGGAAACTTTAATTCGGCTATGGAGATTATAGCTGGTCTCAAGTAAGTAAGATATTGCTGCAAATGTTAGAAAATAAAATAGGATCAATCCTAGTAGGATTTAATAGTCTTTCAGTAATGCGCATATATACATACAATTGTTAAGATAATAATCAAAATAACATGATACTTTGCAATCTTGAAAATAGGTAATAGGTAATATGAAACAAGATTTATCTTCGTGTAGGATAAATAAATAAATCATCTCTGTATTGAAATAGATCATAATAATGAGAATAGTTGTGTCCATCTAAATTTGTCTCAACACACACGTCACGTTCTACATCGATAAATGTAGAAAATATCTCTCTCTCTCTCTCTCTCTCTCTCTTTCTCACGAGTTTTGCAAGTGTAATCCGATTTAGATGTTTCCACGAACTTTCTACGATGTCACACCGTGTTAAGACTTAGGAGAATCGAGCAAAAGGACGCTACCAACCTAATCTTTATCCCTTGGAATAATACAATCCGGTTGCCCTTTTTTTCTATACACGATTCCTGTTTTTTCTTTTTCTTTTTTTTTTTTGTTTTTTTTTTTTTGTTGTTAAAGATCTATGCATTTTTTAAGAAGACAATAGGATTGATGTCTTTTCTTTTCCAATTCGTATCTCGTCCTTGTTTCCTTCGAGATCCATTATCTTTCTGAAAGCGGACGTATTTCGCGAAACTTTATCGTTCTCAGAGCCCTAAAAATCCACCCTAAAGGAGCCCTTTTATTCTTCTTCTTCTTCTTCTTCTTCTTCTTCTTCTTTTTTCTTTTACCATCGAAACGACATTTTTTCCGAAAGAATCGAAGATATCTTTCACCTGTTGTTAGAACCAAACGAAAAGATATAATCTTCTGAAAGAAACGAGATAATTCTACTTGTCAATTTGTTTTTTTTGTTTTTTTTTTTTTCATTAGTCCATATGAAAGATCAAAATTACCTTCATCGAAAAAGAACATTACAAAGTATTGCAACAACAAGAAAATAAAATGTTCATATATCTTCTCGCGAATGTGTGGTTCAATTAAAAGATAATTCGAAGGCAAACGAGATAATTATCTTTTTTTCAGTTTGAAGAGAGAAAAGAAAAAATAAATAAATAAAAAAGAGAAAATGCATAAAGAAACGTAAAAAGGGGTGAATAAAAAAAAAAAAAAGAAGAAGAAGAAGAAGAAGAATTGAAGCTTACGAGCTTTCATATTTTTGTCTCTTCTAACTGGTTTTTCTTTTTACGTACTCCCTTGTTGTTTGGGTTAGAGGGGAAAAAAATAAAAATAAAAAGATAAAAATAAAGTATTAGAAGATGAGGGAAGAAAAAGACTAAAGTAAAAGAGAAAGAAGAAGAAGAAGAAGAGAGAAAATGTTTTAGTTACGTGCCTTACGTGCCATTCCACGAAAGACTTTCTTTCCAAGGAAGATGGAAGTCACTCTCCATCGTGTGGCTAAGAAGAACTTTTTAATCTACATCCCACGGCCTTGAAGAAGGGCCACCACGCGGTTGGCCGCGTTCACTCGCTCGTAATTTCAACCCTGTATAGGTAGACTTATTTTTTTTTTCTTTCTTTCTTCACCTTCTTCTTCTTCTTCTTCTTCTTCTTCTTCTTCATCTTATTCTACCGTTGTGAATACAATAATGATTCTTTGGAGTGCTTTAATTAGAAAGGAGTTTTCAAAAATGAATATAAAATATTCGTATACCTCGTGAGCCCTTTTATGAAAGCCCTTTCAACAGAAAAGAATATTTCAAAGAGAAATAAAATAAGTGAACAAGGGAGTTAACGTTCTTATTTCTTCATTGAATGATAATAATCGATACATATAAGTACTTGGACAATTTTTAAAAAATGATCTTATTGCTGTAATATTTCAATTATATATTTCTTTTTATTCGATTTTTATTTCATATAAAATAATAAATATTATTCTAAAAATATGCATAACAATATTAGAGTTCAATTTTGATCATTATTTAGAAAAATATTTCATTTGCAAACATTTTTTAATGTGATTTATTATTTATTTTCTTTGTAATTATTATAAAAATGCGCGGGGCCTGTATGAATGCAACCCTCCAGACACACTTTGAAAATGTTGCTTGCGAGCGCCACCTGTTGGGACAGAATTTTTTGTCTGCCCGAAAGATAGGCAACCAGTAATACATGCGTGTATGAACAGTTTTGACTGCTCAAAAATTCCGTCCCAGTAGATGTCGCTCGCAAGCAAAGTGTGTCTGGAGGGTTGCATACGAACAGGCGCGCATTTTTATAATTAAATTAATAATTAAATAAATTAAAAGTACAACAAATAATATTATATAATAAATTATCCTCGAAACTTGTTTATTTGAAGGTTTCACTATTAACTTGTGTGATATGCACATATGATTTTGTTATTTGTAAAAGGTCTAGCAAAGTATATTTTAGTATAGTTAAAAGAAAAGAATAAGAAAAAGAAGAAGTAGTACAGGTAGTTACTTACAAATATGCCGTTTGCATGAAACATTTTCATTCGAAAAAGAAATTCTTACTTTATTTTACTTAACTTGTTTTATATATTTTTTGTTGTTGTTCTTCTTCTTATTTCCCTCTTTTATTCTTCCATCGTTCTTCTCGATATCGTTCTCTTCCGATACCTTAGTAAAGTTTCTTTGAGAAACCGCAGATCTCGAAAGTTTCTCAAACAAGTTAGAAGAAGAAGAAGAAGAAGTATAGAGGGAGGAGGAGGAGGAGGAGGAGGAGGGGAAGGGGGTTGAGAATAAGTAAAGGAGAACTTGGAGAGATCCACGTGTAGATTAGGAAGAAAATTGTGGCACACAACTCGTAAGAGGTTTAAAGAGATAGTTCAAGAGAAACAAGAGCAATGTGTATACTTGAGAAAGAAAGAGACAGAAGAGGAAAGGATGAGTGGACCTTCCAGTAGAAGGTAGAACAGTTAATGGCTATTTCTACCGGATGTTTCTTCCGGATATCTCTCGTTCGTGGCTTATACGTGGCTTCCAATAATGGAAAAGCGTCATTTGTGGCTGAAGAGAGAAATGGAATCGAGCTGTTGTTTTACTCAACTTTCTTTTTCCTCCCTAACAACCATTCACACATACATACAAGGGGAAGGATTCTACCGAAAATTCTGCTACAAAATGAATATGCTACCTACCAAAATGAATTCGTAGAGAAATATCAAATCTCGTTTACAGAGATTTTTGATTTAGGTTAAACGCTGTATTACAAATTAGACAGAATTCTTATTTGCTTTGAAGATAATCATAAGAAGTGGCACTAAACGTAAACGTCATTTTGCTCGGTCTTTTGTGTTTCAAAGGTAGAAGAAAAATAATAAAAAAAAAAAAAGAAAAATAGAAAAAAAAAGAATAGAATAGAAAGAGAAAGATAGCGAGTAAGATTGTATGCCTGAAGACTGCAATCACCGTAGGGCAAATTTAATCCTGTTCGTAAAGAATAAGAGATAAGTCGCCGCAAGGTATTTCTCTATCTTTCTCTTTCCTTTTCTTGTAATATTACAAAAAAAAAGAAAGAAAGAAAAAAAATATTAAACTCCATATACTCGTACGTTGAAATAAGTTCAAGTATCTTCGAGATTGTTAGACTGTAAACGTTAGTTCTATAACAGTTAGTTCTTATTAGAAAGCATGACGTACGAGGAGAACTAACATAAAGGTTAACAAAACGTGAGACTTTATTTCCCATAGAAAAGATACGTTTCTGAATCATGGTTAGCAGTTGCAAAACTCTTCTTCCAAGTTAAAATATGTATTAACTTCCTTTTTCGTTAAAATTCTAAACTCGATTCTCATTTTTTCTTTTTTTTTTTTTTTTTATTCCGTCTTCCCCCTTCGTTCTTTCGTTCGTACGTTTTCGTTCGTTCCACTTTAAAATCCATATTCGACCGTTAGAGGAGGTCGAAACGTACGAGAGAGAGAGAGAAAAAAAACATGAAAAAAATAAAAAAAAAAAAAGGAAAGAAAGGAAAAGGAAAATTCAGCTCTCTGGTTAGAATATCGAGGCAAGCGAATAGAACGCGATAAAAATTCTCAAAAACGTTCCCTTGGTATTTAATCGAGTCGGAAAAAAAGAGTAGTTTTTCAAAACTTTCCAATTCCCGTAACTTTGGAATGAACTATCTATCTGAAAACTGAACCCACGGGAATTCATTTAATGACATACTGTAATTTCGTATATTTTAAATCAAATATATAATCAAAGGTCTCATATTATACATGTATTTACAACCGATGACATCATTTATTTTTTTCGATGGCTTTTTAGGCTTGTTAAAATAAAAACAACTCTTACAAATTGTATACTTCATGGCTGCTCTATTTAATTCTAATTAATATTTGAAATATCTTATAACTGATATTAATCAAATGAATTCAAATTTATCTTTGGAATAAATAAACTCAACGTTAAATATGACATAGCTTTATGAAACTGACTTTACACTTAGTTTAAATGAAACTTCATTCAAGAACGTGTTATAAAAAAAGAAAAAAAAAAATCTTTCGGTTACAGATCAAACAAGCTGAAAACATTTGGCCCGAACATAAGTGAGTCAATTCCTGTTCTGGAATATCTTGCCTCCGCCCTTTTGTCTTCCGAGTACGAGCATGCGTTAGCTCGTGCTCTCGCAATGCCAGAATGTCCAGTGGTACCATTTTTTGGTGCCTTTTTACGGGAATTAAGAGAAGTCAACGCTAATGAATACAAGGTGAGATTTTATGGATAATATTTAATCTTTTTGTTGTTGTTCTTTTAACACTTAACATCGAGATATCATAGAAGAAGAAGAAGAAGAAGAAGAAGAAGAAGAAGGAGAAGAAAATTGTTTGACCAACTTTTTCCCCTCATTTTGATGAAATTTATAGAAGAAATGTGATATATCTTTTAAGATATAAGTCGTCCATTCTTTTTTCTTTCTTTTCAATTTAGTTGATCCACCATATCGAAAGTCTAGAATAGTGTCAAAAGAAAACTGTTGAAAAGGTATACAACATATGAAGGAGGAAGTTCATCCTTAGTAAGATATTTTCGTGTAGGAATAAGTGTGACTATTCTTTTGAAGATCCGTCAAAAAAAGGAAGAAAGAAGTATATCAATAAGAATTCATACACACACGTCCATTTCTATATTCCCCTCTTTTAGGAAAAACATATCACGAAAGAAGCTATTGTCCGCAGATGATATATTTATAGTATACATTTCTACAATACACGAAAACGTATCCAATGAAAGCTGATAATCATTCTTCCTTTTCTCTAACACGGTTTCAGTATAGTAATACTCATCTTGAAGGTAGCCTAATCCCAAAAGGTAGAGGAGGTCTCGAAGGGTATAGTTTCCACAAAGTGTGCAAGAAAAGCTTCCTCTGAAAGAGAAACTGCCAAAGTAGCTTTTCTAGAACGAAAAGAAAGATAGGTGGTTAGAACGCGCGGCCGCAAAATAGAAGATCGATTATCATCACTGCGTGTTCAATGTTTCCTGACAGCACCTACTCAAAATATCGAAATTGTACCTTTCAAAACTAAACAAATTGTCAGCTCTTTTTTTCTTTTTTTCTTTTTTTCTTTTTTTTTTCACCAATTCCATTTATCAATAGTTTACATTTATAAATTAAAATGCACATTATTTTCTAGAAGAGAATCAGATTAAAATCGCAAATCGTTTTATTCGTACTAATATTATCTGCTCCAATTTGTTCTCTCGTAGAATAATAATACATCTCGATCAATGAGCTCTATTATTAACACAACCTTGTCGTTTTAAAATTGACGAGAAAATCATAGGAGTTTATATAATAAGTTATATAAATATATAAAGTTATATAAATGCCTGTAATCTACGTTTATCCTGTCTTTTTATCTGTTGTTGTTGTTTTTCTTATTAGTAAAAGAATGTACTTGTATGTATTGATGTTACAACATATCTACATCGTTACATGAATATAATATAAATTTTGAAATATTATAGTATCGAACTCTACATTCATAAAATGTTATGAAATTTCAATCAAATTTGAATAAATTATTATTTGAAATGGAGAAATGCAGAGAGAGAGAGAGAGAGAACATATACGATTCTATATTACACAAATGGCATTTACATTGTATATTCTATATTACAAATGGCATTACTAATTTCTCAATATAAAATTGAATAATAAAAAAGAAAAAAACGAGTGATAAAGACAAATTGGATTTGATTGAAATTCTTAACATAATTCGTCGTCGTCGTCGTCGTCGTCGTCGTCGTCTCTATAGAAAATCTTTATTTGAAGTCAGTTTTGATCAATAAGAAGAGTAGAAAAATCTTAAGTAATTCGAATTTACTTTAATCTGACTTATAAAGAAAAAGAAAAGAAAAAAGGAAAAAGAGGCAGCAGCACTCGGAGTGCAAGATGTCGATAATATTTTCACTGTGAGAGTGTGAGAACAATGTTGGACATCTCTTAGGAGCTATAGATTTAAACGTTAGACGTGGATGAATGGTTTATCCGATAGGACACCTAAGAAAATCGCTTTTCTCAAACCGCATGGCATCTTCCTATCTCTTTCTCCATTCCTTCCTTCCTTTCTTTCTTACTTACTACAAATTCCAAACCGAATTCCTCGTTTCTTGGCGTGAAGTATCTTCCTACGAGCAATGCAGAAAAACAAGAAGATGCTGAAAAAGACGAGGAAAAAGAAGAAGAAGAAGTAGAAGAAGAATATACAAAATCAAACGTGAAGAGACAATAGTTGTTGAACAAAACGACAAGGATAGGGGTTTCTATCGGCCTCCAGCAGTTATGATGGTTGTAGGCCGGCGGAAACTACTTGCTCTTGTCGCTAATAATCGCCATGCTGAAAAATAATACTGCTGATGAGTTATTAGATTGGTTCTATAGGTCTGTCAATTTCTTTCACTTTTAGTGAAAGAATTAAGAAAAAATTTAGAATTTGAATGAATTTGATATTTATATATATATATATATGTATATCTATTTCGTAAAACATATAATTTCATCAGTCAATATAATTGTAATCGACCGCTCGAAGTAATGTCATTATCGATTAATTATCTATTGCTCGATGAGATTCGATAGGAGTAGATATAAACTGCACGTATAAACTATTCCATTAGGTAGCCTCCGAAACAGGATTAATTCATCGAAGCGTTATTTTCGAATCGATTAGAAGCATCATAAAACGCTTTGCTTAATTCTTACCCTTAATTCCTTGTAATTCGAAATTTTCATTACATTTGTCATGTTAAACAAATAAATAAGGACGTTTAACAACGTTGATTTAATATAATTCTAAACTATTACACATTTACAACAAATCCAGGATTGTCTGTAAAAAATTGAATCAATTTTCATGGAGACAGCATCAGAAGCATTAAAGAAAAGTAGCAAGGAAAAAGATCTACTTTCTTTCCGTTTTCCTTTTCATCGGTTTTACACGACCCATTCAATTTATTTCCTTTTTCGAGATATCGCCTTAAGACAATGTCGCGAGTTCCCAACTCATTTTCTACAAACGGATATTGACGAGCTTTCGAGCTTGCCGAGTTATCTTCGAAACGCATACGTGACAGCAAACCAATGAAACAACTACATCTCCATCTTTCCAAACCTTGTTGTTCAAAAAAACAACAACCGGAATAAAATATCAAAATAAATGGGAAACATTAGACATGTATTATTTATGTAAATACATTTCATTTATTTATATTTTTATAATTAATACTCTTTCTCGCACAAAACAACAACAACAACAACAACAAGTTGCATAATACTCTCGTCAAAGGTTCACAGTGTAAAAATATATTTTGTGATATTCGTGAAAGGGCGTATTCTGATGAGAGTCCACGGTCTCTCAGATAAACTAAAGCAGAATGAGTTGCAGTTGACTTTGGTCGTCTTAGAAATTCGTAATACTGCACAAAATGTTTACAATGCTCGGTCATATTCATATTTCCAGAAAGGACTATTTATACAAGGCTCTGAATAACAGTCCACCCTTTTTCCCTTTCTTTTTTTTTTTTTTTTCTTTTTTTTGAATAGTTCAGTTGTAGGAAAGACGAACTAAAGGTATCACATCTGTTCGTTAAAACAAAATCTATATAAAGTTTAGATAAATATTATTATAAAATATAAAATTTAATAATAAACTTTGTTGAGAGATATTTTTGTTTAATTTGTCAGAGTGATATCGAGAAAAAGAAGAGCCACGAGGGGACGAAAGATAAAACAATAGATGAAATTGGGCCGATTGAAAATTTAAGTTGTTCTGGTGCAAGGGTTGGTTACACCGGTCCACGGATAGACGTTGAGAGTAATACAGAAGCTCCATCGGGATGGAGTTCATTAAAACGGACAAACGAGACCTATGATACTAACGCCGTCCTTGAAAAGGTTGCACTATTTCACAAGCATCGACACGCTCGTGGAAGGGATGCAACCACCGGATCCCTTCACCGCACCCTCAGTCTACACACCACAGCGATCGAGCAGACCTACATGGCCGAGGAATGCGATGACAATGATTATCACCTTGATCTTAATTCTTATAAACCGGTCCAACCTATCCCCATAGATCATGGGGTTGCCCTTTTTCCAGTTGCCGCGCCACGCACAGGAATGGATCTTCATATCTTACAGGTATTGAGTTACTAAGCTGATTAGTATGATAACTAATAGTCCTGTGTGAGTGTATGAATAAGGGAATAATAATTAGGTACTTAACTTTAGTCATAAAAGAAATTTATCTTTCTCTCGCTAACATTTTGCGTTATCGTCTCTCCCTGCTGTTTTAACACTTTGAGAAATAGCTATGAAAAGTCAAAGAAAAAAAAAAAAAAAGCAAACTCCCTCTTATTTGCTAGGAGCAAACTGCGAAGTTGGAAGTAAGGGTCGATAACAATTAATTATGTTGATTCGAGCTTTATCGTAACTACCTACTTGTTTGTTAATAAAAGATTGAATATATCTTACAATTAGAAAAAGTACTTATGATTCGTTAATTAAAGAATAAATATTAAGAAGAGATAAAGGAAAGTGATATGATTAGGTATTACACCATGGTACAACGTTGGTACATTGGGATTGTGAAAGCGGCACTTCGAGAACGGCCTTGGTATTCGCACGAGTCGATAGAGCGTGCAGTACATTTGTATGGGAAAAGCCACCTTGGAGTTCATTGAAAACGGGCCAATTCGGAACAAATACCGCCTACACCGAGTTCTCAATCATGAGCAATCCCGAGGAAAATATACCGGCTGGTTTAATAAGCAGATACGCGGCACAACAAAATGAATGTGCATCGGTCACATTAGAGGAAGGATACCTCGATTTGGCCTCCGTTAAAGAAGTCATGATTGGTTGTTGCGACCGAGACAGGGAGGCTGATCTTAGAAGCATATGCAAAAGGTATGGCCTACCTGGCTCAGATTCTTGTATCGGCCTCATGTATGGTTCCAATCTACCTGACAATCGATTGCTCTTTCTACTTTGTCCCCCAGCACTTGGCAAGTGAGTAAAAATGATCTAGAGTAACGGGAAGGATAAATTAGAAGATATATAAAATTGATATCGTTTATTTTAGGATATGGTATATGGGATTGTGTTGGATATTACGAGGCCTGAAGCGACAGCGACAATTAACGGATCGAAGATCACGTTGGCTTAAAGAAAAATATCTGCAATTGTATTTCGAGGAAGGTTGCTTCGAGCCTATGACAGCTGATGCTATAAGAGCTTTTGGTGGACGTGATTGGTCATTGACCGAAAGTGTTGGCACCCTGTCGCCAGCTAGCAGCGCTACTATACGTAAAAGATGCGCTAAGGGAAAAAAGACCAAATCTATCGGCAATATTCATGCTCTGACAAAGGTAATTTAAAGGCTAAATGTTTGAAAAAGAAAGACAAACATTAAGAAATATCATCAACTACTTGGACGTTTCAGGACATCAGCTTTAAACAGTACGACTCGTCATCTTCGGATGGCAGCTTATCTGCCGCACCTTTTCGTCATATGACTGGCAGTAGGGAATCCTTAACGAGATTAATTCCAGCATCTCCAAGAACCAACAGAGATCGTGTTACATCACGCAGTCCACCTGGTTCTGCCGAAAGAATAGTAACTTCCAACTTGCCTTATTCCAGTTTACAAAGGTATCGATCGAATGAAACTTATCTAACTGTTATTTATATAGTATATATAGTTATACTTTTCATTTGTTTCATTGTATATCGCTATCACTTGGGAACAGCTTGCTTTGCGTTCCTAGAGACAAGGACAGAAATGGTGGAGGAATGCCAGGTGGATCGGAAACTTCATTGCAGGTGAAAACACGTGCCACTTCCATTATGTATGAGACTCAGTTGAACTTTGTCGAGTTCGTGGCACTTTTCCGATCGTTCAGTCTTAGAGCTAGAAAGGACCTACGTGATCTCTTTGGTCAGCTTGCTATCACGTGCCGAAGTCAAAGCGATGGTTCACTTCGAGATTTTAGTACACGTCCGGCAGTATTAAGACAAGCCAGTGATGCCACACCACAAAGAATTGGTAAGAAATCAAAATTGAATAATCATTTCAAATACATACAAAATATGTATATATATATATATGTATATATACATATAATATATCGATATATGTGCTCTATTTAATACAGGACTTTTAACCAGAAATAATTCAATCGATTGTCACGAATATAAAACAAGTAGTAACTTTCATAAGAAACAAATTCTTGACGCCGTTGCAGCAGCAAGTATAATGAACAATTGTTCTGGCGTCGACACGTCAAAGTCTCAAGTAATCACTCTTGCCACATTCACAAAGTTCCTCGAATCTCGACAACAAGAAAAGCTTACCGACGACGAGATCAAAGCCCTCGTCAAGGTAAATTTCTTAACTTTACGTCTTACTCTAACTAACAACTAATTAACTTATCCATCTTCCTATCTACCTACCTATCTACCTACCTACCTACCTACCTACCTACCTACCTACCTACCTACCTAGCTACCTACCTACCTACCTACCTACCTACCTACTATCTATCTATCTATCTATCTTTAGATTCTATCCTTTCAATAAACGGAGAACAAGTTAGAGACACAAATTAGAGATAAATCAGACTGAAACTATACGACGAAGATACGCTTATGTAAAAAACACGCAATCAAATAATCCAATTTGTTCGTCGTACATTTTGTAATTCCAGAGGCATGAACCAGATCCAGTATTACGCACACAATGGTGCTTGTCCTTCGAAGGTTTTGCACGATACATGATGGACAAGGACAATTACGCTTTCCCAAACGAATACGCGACACCCTTGGAAAACGAAATGCAACAGCCCTTATCGCAATATTACATTGCAAGTTCCCACAATACTTATTTGACTGGCCATCAGCTCAAGGGCGAATCATCCGTCCAACTTTATTCACAGGTTAATCATTTTTACATTTTTATTATATTTTATTTCTCGCAGTTGTCCGAGTTTGTATTATTAAATATCATGGAAAATTGTCAAATAATTATTGTTTCGCGAGTTAGGTAATTATATTTGTACAAGCAAATACGACGCGGGGTATGTGCTGTAGTGTGTTTTTAATTAACGTATAGAAAAGTTTCACATGCATAAGTTTTTTATTGGCCCAATTCAACTTATGACCTAGTATTTTACTTCGGCATTTGGCCGAGCCATCGTTTGACCTACTAGCCAAAGCTCGCAAGAAACATCACGAATCCGATCGATTCCGATAGCTGATATTTCCAATTTTAACTTTCTCGAAATCAACGTTTTACACCAATCGATCTTATCAAATATCCAATACATTCTAAATTACGTTAAAACCGTCTAAGTTTCTCTCTCTCTCTCTCTCTCTCTCTCTTCGGTTTTAATTAAATCGTCGTAATCGATCCTATTCGAGATGAAATTAAATCAGTCGTTGCGAACAAGGACGATTTAAGGACTAAGACAATTAAATCCTATATCGTAAAATAAGTATCGAAATGTAAACTAAACGAATTGAAATAGATATAAATCTATCATTTAGGTCCTTTTGACCGGATGTCGATGCGTTGAATTAGACTGTTGGGATGGGGACGATGGATCACCTCTCATTTATCACGGCCACACCTTTACCACAAAGATCCCATTTCGATTGGTAGTAGAAGCTATTGACAGGAGTGCATTCGTCAGTTCACCCTATCCGGTTATACTGTCCATAGAAAATCACTGTTCCCAAAGTCAACAAGCACGAATGGCGCAGATCTTTCAGGTAAATTTATCGATTTCAATTATATTCTAAGATTTTTAATTTGATTAGATAAAAAATACAGATAACAATAAAGTAGAAGTAAAACCAAGCTTCGAGAAAATGAGACGATTCATAGTATTAGCATTATTAATTAAATAATTATTAAAATAAGCGCCTGTAGAAATGCAACCCTCCAAACACACTTTGAAAATGTTGCTTGCGAGCGTCATCTATTGAGACGGAATTTTTTCTCACCTCAAACTGTTTATACACGCATGTATTACGGGTTGCCTATCTTTCAGGCAACAAAATTTCGGCAAGCAACATTTTCAAACTGTGTCTGGAGGGTTGCATTTCTGCAGGCGTAATGTTTTTATAAATAATGATAAAAATTAAAATTTAATTTTGTAATTAAATATTTCGTAGTATACATCTTTCATTCTCTCTAGATCTATAGGATCCGTTTACAAATTACTCTCATTCTAAATAAGTTTTCATTTCAATTTTATTCATTACAGTCGGTCTTTGGAGAAAAACTTGTAACAAAGTTTTTATTTGAAACGGATTTCGGCGACGATCCACAATTACCATCACCGTCTCAATTGAGACATAGGATATTAATAAAAAATAAAAAATTAGTAGTTGATCCGACTGGTCCATTATCTCACGCACCGACATCGGCATATCGTAGTAAAATGTTGATATCCGATCGAGCATCATCCATGAAACAAATGCGAACGGACGTTAGCACCCCGTCCGTGATCGAGTATTACAGTGAAGATGAAGATGACGACGAGGAAGATGACGAGGATGATAATATCGATGGTAATTATACCGTTCAACTATCAAATATTATAATTCACTTATATTTTGTTCCTTTTTTTTATTTCTAGACAATTCGATATCGAGCTGCGAAAGATATTTGGGTAATCAGCCGCAACTTCGTGTAAAATCGGATCAAACTACCGACGATAAAGTTCAACCAAAGCAAAGTAGTCAAATTGCTAAGGAATTGTCAGATTTGGTTGTTTATTTGCAAGCTATTAAATTTCGTGGCTTAAATACGACTCCGGGAACAGGTACATCTGGAAAGGTTCGTCATCAAGCTCATACCGGACCTGTTCAAAGACACAGCATCGCTGGAATCGGTAGCAGTGGTGTAGCTTCTTCTTCGGGATCACCACAATCACTTTCAACGTCAGCTTCAATTGCAAGTGGTGGCAGTAACATCGATAATCTTTTCAGGTATTGTTTTACTCATTTTTTTTCTAAAAATAAAAGATAAATAATAATGAGAATATTATTAATCGTTGTTGGTTGTTTATCAGGACGACCCGTGGCGTACCAGCATGCTTCCAATGTTCGTCTTTAAACGAAAGCGCAGCGAAAAAAATTTGTAGAAAGCAGCCATTGGGTGTGGTAGCGCATACAGAAACACAATTGGTTCGAACTTATCCAGCGGGAATGCGTATCGATTCGACCAATTTTAATCCTGTGATCTTTTGGGCATTTGGTATTCAAATGGTAGCATTGAATTATCAGACCGACGATGCGGGATTGAATTTAAATGCTGCCATGTTCGAACAAAACGGACAATGTGGATACGTGAGGAAGCCTTCGGTAATGTGGGATAAAACTCATATGATGTATAGGTAAGTCGAAAATGTATTATTATTAAATGATAGAACGATAGAATGCACACATATTGATATTTATATTTGTAGACGATTCAATCCATGGGACAAAGAATTTGATGGTCTACACTCAGCTCATTTGGCTTTATCGATAGTGTCCGGGCAATATGTTTCACCGTCAAACTTCTTGGCCAGTACGTACGTTGAAATCGAATTGGTTGGCATACCGATTGATTGTGCAAAACATAAAACCAAAGTAATACAAAGCAATGCCCTGAATCCAATATGGAATGAAAAGTTCTGCTTTCAAGTGATGTTTAAAGATCTAGCCTTTTTAAGATTAGGTATAGTAGAAGCAAATTCTCATCACTTGATTGCTCAACGCGTGATACCATTAAAATGCCTAAGACCAGGTTACAGGCACGTACGATTGCGTTCGTGTAAAAACAAACCATTAGCTTTATCAACATTATTCATATATTCTCGATTGGAAGAGGAAAGTCTCGATTATAATACTTGTTGTCGGGATCACAAGGAAACGTCATCGAAACGACCGTCGTCTGGAAAAGAACCGGATAAATTGACAACCGTAGATCCAGGTTTAGGTGGGGTAACGTTAAAAAGAAGAATGTTTTTCTTAATGGTTTATCACGTAACACCCGAAGAACCCTATACCATTTTAAAAGTAACCCAAGAAAGTACTACCCAAGAAGTGATGTTACAAGCGTTACAAAAAGCAGGAATATCACCTGAACACGTTGACGAATATATTCTCGTAGAGGAAGTCTCTCGTGGTTGGGAAAAACGAGACCGAGAAGAATTACCAACTCAACGAATTCTCGATCCTACCGAACACCCACTTCAAGCTCAAGCATTGTGGAAAGGACAAGGTAGATTTCTGTTGAAACGTGTCGGAGATGATCCAAGTAGCAGGGCATGGCTTTTATCGATACGAAGTACAGCCGGACATTTTAAATTGGATACCAATTCGCGTGATCATTCAACTCACATATGGGACGAGGAAGATACTTTTTTAGTTTGCATTAACGAAGTCTCACCGGAAATTCCTTACGCTATTTTACGAGTACCAGTTAGTAGTTCGGCTCAAGACGTTTTAGCCCAGGCATTGGTAAAAGCAAGAAGAATGGAAGATCCTATGAAATTTGTATTGGTCGAAGAATTGGAATGGGGTGGTGCTGGTGCCGTTGGTAGCGGTAGTCGTCAACAAAGAGTCCTCAGGGACGATGAAAATGTTTATAGCACACAAGCATTTTGGAAGACCTTAGGTAGATTTAGTTTAAGGGAAAGAGAACAAATAGCACCTAGGCGACATTTGTTACCAACAACGTTGGACAGGTTAAGCAAAGGTTTTTCCGTTGGTAGATCAGTATCTTTACCTGGTTCGAGTAAAGAAAAAGTCCCAGTAAGCGAAGCCTTGTCCGATCCAACATCCAGAGGTTTGAGACATCGTTTCTTGATGTCAGGCCGTAGACGTGAAGTACATTCCGACGGTGAGGATACTAGGGAATCTGCAATAATGACCGTGGGAATTCATTTAAAGAAAGTATCATTGAGAAAAATAAGGGGTTGGAAATCATAGTGGCAGTCGCGAGCGACGTCGATAACTTCCTTCTTCGCCGCTCGAACTAATCATTAAAATTCACAAAAATAACATTCATCAACAACAACAACAACAACAACCCCCTATTAATAATTAATTACAAATACGATAGCCTAAAACGCCTTTAAAGGTATCAATTAGGTTCGAATGAAAATATATATGAAGACATTTCAATTGTATACGAATTCAAAGAGAGAGAGAGAGAGAGAGAGAGAGAGTAAGAGGACATATAGCTCAATCATTCAAATATTTTATTCTTTACAGACGAGTTATATTATTATTATTATTATTATTATATGATACGAGGAACAATGGATTTCTCTCTCTCTCTCTCTCTCTCTCTCTCTCTCTCTCTCTACAATTGCGAGCCTTTTATTAAAATAACAATATCGTTATGAAAATAATTTCATTTATTTCAATGAAAATTCACGTTTATTTAATTATTATTTGAAATTCACGTTATATATTATTATTGTTATTATTATTATTATTATTATTATTATTATTATTATTATTATTGAATATATTTTTAATGTCTTACTCGTATTCATTAATAAGCTCGATAATAATTATCAATTATTATAAAATATTATTGAAATAACTGATTGAGATCATATCTGAAAATTTCAATGAACAAATTAGATGATTTAAATTTTTTTGCAAAAATTCTAATTCGAGGAAAAATATAAATCGATCTAATATCTATGTTGGACCATTATAAAATATCACGTTGCGATAGAGTGATAATCGTGCATACAAATTTAGGTATATACGTAATATAATTATGACAATTCGTATCAGCAAAGAACAACAACAACAACAACAACAACAACAAAATATGATAAAAAGAAAGCCAAAATCTTCTATGAGGCTTTCTTTATAACACGTCAGTATTATTTCTTAGTACAATTTTACACACACACACACACACACACTTTATCTTTCTAATCTCTTTCTCTTTTACTCTCTTGTTCCATCGGTCATAAGAAAGATGAAAATGAAAATGAATTATCTAGGAAAAAAAAATAATGTTTTATTTCTTACTTGTAAAAAGAAAGACCATGTGAACAACTCATTATAATATTTAATAGTAATACACTCGAGAATATCAAATTGCTATATACATATATATAGAGAGAGATTGCTAAAGTTTGCAAAATTGATTGATGTTTACTTTCTATTACACATACAGACAGACACACACATACACACTACCATTTCTTCCTCTTAAAATCTTCTTTGAAGAGAATTTTATTATTAGAGAGATTGTACATATATATTTGAAGGATCCGCGAAAGTTGTTGATTTTTGTTTTGAATTACTACCATGCTTATGCATTCGAATAAACACATTTGCGAGATGATCAATAGGAATATGCATGAATTGCCAAGAATTTTCAACATGCATAATTATTGAATGAAGATGAAGAAGAAGATGAAGAAGAAGAAGAAGAAGAAGAAGAAGAAGAAGAAGAAGAAGAAGGAGAATGAGAAGAATTAATTCAATACCGAGATAGCCTAATTTTTGTTAATTAAATAACACAAGATAAATCTACAAAATGACAGCAGAGAGCAGCATGATGAAATATTGATTAGACGAACGATATTATCTAATCTGCCAACGATGCCACAAGAATCTCGTTCCGTCTTCCAACACACCCTATATAAATAATATTGTAATATCCATTTTCTAAAAAAAAAACTACCGAAACTAATTTAACATTTCCTACGAAAAATTGTAAATCCATTTCAATCAATCCGACAAAATATACATAATAATAATAATAATAATAATAATATAATAATAATAATAATAATAATCGTGTTTCTTAAAAATTGCAAAAGAAAAAAAAAAGAGAAAATGTAAAAAAAGGTGAGAAAGAAAAAAAATGTCGTCTCTTCCGAAGTCTCGTGACATCGTTGTGCATGCACACTCTATATACAAAATATAAAAGAAGAATTATTATTGCAAATTATTTATTATCAAAATGAGAGGAAAAATAAAGGTTTATGTAAATAGGTGCAAACGAATAATGGCTACTAATAACGATAATTATAAACGTTATGTGTATTTTAATTGAATCTCGACACACTCTCCCGCCCCCCGACCCACCCTCCAAACACCCTGAAAAAATTCGCAAGAAAAACCCAAAATAAAATGAAATAAAATAAAATAAATAAAAATGAAAACACATCGTCAACAAGAGGAGGAGGAGGAGGAGGAGGAGGAGGAGGAGGTCGTCGATCGTCGAAAAAACTTCGAAGAAAAAAAACGAAATAAATGAAATTGAGAAAGGAAAAAAAGAGTTATAAACAATTTGATGCAGTTAAGAAGGATTTAAGATACAATAACATTTTCAAAGCTTTTTGAGAAAAGCTCACGCGTGTAAGAAAGAACAACGCGATTACTTCTTAAAATACTTTTGGGACCACTCTCGTTAAGAATATTACCTGGGTGCTTCTTTCTATTCTATTTGAATTTTTCTTTGACGATGGTAAGAAAACTAGAAGATATGTAAGAACATATACATATATACAGGACCGTATTTATACTTTTAAAAAGGTCCTAAGTATGAAACTTATTGTGAAGCGACAAAAACGAAAAAAAATCATTTGATTTACTTCAATTTCAATTTCAATTTCAATTTCAATTTAAGCAAACTTTCCTTTACTTTTCTTTCCATATAAACTCATTTATTCTAATAAAATTCAAATAAAACTACAAACAAAAGTTGTACTTATATATATATATATTCAAATTATTGATACAAGAAAGAAGGAACAAAAAAACACACACAAAGTATTTAAGATCGAAGCATATCCCTACTGTAAATAATACATATCCGTATATAATTCTTTTAGTTAAACTATTTATTATAATATTTAATAATCTATATATACGCTATATGTACTGCTGGAACTTTTATAAAGGGCGCGTATTTTAAAAGCCGATAAATAAAACAAAGAGATCGTTGAAATAATGTGACGAACAAAAAGAAAAATGAGAAGGAAAGTTCGATCGTCGAATATTTAAAATAATATTTATAATATTTAAAACACACACACACACACACACATATATATATACAAATAAATATTACAAAATAGAAACTTTTATATATAATAACATCGTTCAAGTTGAAATGAAGCAATTATATTTCCTATACACGCATATGCTCATATACTTTTTTTAAGTGCATATTATTATAAATTATATTCATTGTTTGCATAATATTAATAATAATAATAATAATAATAATAATAATAATAATAATAATGAGAAAAAAGAAAAAGAAAGAAAATTGGTAGGCAAAGTTTTCTCAATGCTTTGTTTATTACACTTGAGCAAAATAAACATAATCACCTATCAATTTTCCAACCTGTGCATAGTGTAAACTATCTAATATATAAATTGAAAGTAATTGCAATATTCACGTGAATAATATTTTATGAATAAAAAGTAATCACGTTTTACTACTCAGTATTATTATCAACAAATACTCATAAAATACTTAAAACATATGTAGAATTGTTTTAAACATTAACATACCTATTACCCTACTTATAATATTCAATAATTTTGATATTATGTTTAAATAAATACAAATTTCACCAGCAAAGTCATTAGTGCACAGGATAGATCAAGTAATTAATTAATAAAGATAAAAATAATAAAATCAGAGCGTTATAATTTTAAATTCTATTCATTAGGTGAACTATTCTCGTTCTGCGCATGCGCAATCTTCGCTAAATCATATGATTGACAAGTGGAAGGTGCATACAACGTGTACTCCGTACCTTTAAACAACAATAGACATTTCTTTTGATAAATTAACAATTATTTTAATACTTTTATGCATTTGAAATGCGATTGATATATTAGTGGACAATTATAGTTACAGTTGCCTTTGATATGTAAGTGATGTGTCAACGCATGTAAGTAATCATTAGTCACGTTTTTAGGTTATATTTGCAGTTTATTTTATTTAGTCAATATAATTTCAGTTGTGCAGTATACAAGTGCCAAGGATTCTTTACTAATCTTAGATAAGGTAAAAGATAAACTTTACAATATTGTATTTGATAAAAACAAACTTTATATATTACTTTTACAAAATAATTCTTCATAACATTAATAAACTGATTCTTTCAACAGAGGAGGGATTTAATAATTTGACTGGGAGTGTCTACACATTATTTTCAACAATAATAAGAAGAATCCATCCATATCACAACCATGAAAGATTTTTAAAGACACTGCACGTATTATAATTGCACTGGGAGAAAACCATATGCAGTAATATTTAATCAAAAGGAATGAATCCTTGTTTTTTCCAAATTAAGAAGACAAATGGCAAGTACATTCTGATGTGCATTTTACAATATGTACTAAATTTATTACTGTTCACCTTACAGGGAGTTTAAAAGCATTATTGGGAATCAACAAAGACCAGAAAATTTATATATATTATTATGAACTTATGTCTTCTTTGATGACATTCACTGTAAATTATTATGCAAAAATGATGCAGGTGCACTAAGAAAAATAATCTAGAACATAATATGTCCTGAGGTAAAAATAACAATCTTTATTAAGGGAGAAGATAATATTATAATACAGGTAGAATACATTTATTTTTATCATATAAAAGACAATTTATATATTCCATTAATTTTTTATCATATAATTTAAATATATCCTGGAGGACATCTATAATTTATTACCGACAGGTACCCAATGTAACGTCATCTAGCAATAGTAACTGTTACTTTATTTTACCGACAGGTAAAATATGTATCGCCATCTAGCAGTAGTAACTGTTACTTCATTTACCGACAGGTAAATAT